AAACTGCAGATTAGACTGGAACAACATTAAATTTACAAAAGTTAGCAAATACATTGTGGTGGTACATGAAAATATCCCTTTTTTTAGGAAATAGGAACCAAAGGCCAACTTAATCTCAATCGTACATTTGGATGATCTGTGAAACCATTATTTTTAATCCAAAGGTAACTTAATCTCAATCGTACAGGCATATGCGTGTGTGTATGTGTGTGTGTGTGTGTACATGTATACGTGTATATGAATACACAAACCCTTTTGTTGTTCTAACCAACTTACAAAAAATGATTTTTTTTACACAGGAGTTTGAGTTAATGCAAAATTTTATGAAAGAAGTATCATCTTTCAATTCAACAAATACTGAGGATGTAAAGTGTAGCTGAGTAGAAATTATGTAGTCTGTTTCATAATTTTCCAAGCAAAGAGTATGCTGAGGTCAGTATCATGAGTAACAGCCATTACTAAGTCCCCCTCTCTGCAGCCTCCACTCTAGGACCTGGACTGCTAAGTACCCTGCCAGCTTTCCTCACAGCCAGCCATGTCATCCTGCGGTGGCCGAGGAGACAGCAGAGTATTTACTGAAAGTTTCTGGGAAAGTTTGTTTTCCTGCTCAGAGGAAGAGGCAAAAAGGGAAAAATCCCACCACATCCCACTTCCCATCCTTTTCTTGCATTTAATGTGATCGGGATGCCTGGAGCTTGATAGAATAAGCTAGAAGACATCAAGTGAAAAGATGGCCAAGCAAAAATAAAGAAGACTCTAGGTCTTTGCTACCATCATGGAGCAGCTGGACCAACTCCAGCAAATGCTTAAGGCTGTATTTCTTATTATGTAAGAAAAATGTGCTTAAGCCACACACAGGTTAGGGCCGATGCCTGCTGATCCAGGAAGTTGGGGAAAGGTAGAAGAAATATAAAACATAGTAAGAATGAGACCACGTGGAACTGTGTGAAGGAAGCCACTCCAAAACAAAATGCCTATTTAAAACCTGGACCAAATGGTATGTTGAAGCTTTCATGGAATGCCAAGATGCTAACAATTTCATTTTTAAAAAGTTAAAGAACTCCTACAACAGTAAACACGCTACAGTGATTTAAGACTTGAAAAGGTCAAGACATCCTCTAATCAGATGGGTTTCAATGCAAACATTATTTCTGGGTGGTCTGCCAAGAGTGTACCTTATTGCCAAATTCCTAATTCAAAACTATATATAAGAATGCCTTAGCTGAAACACAGAAGTGAAAAAATAAGACTTTTAAACAGCAATCTCACTTCTCTCCCAAAGATAAATGTGCCCATTAACCCTGGATGCTAACAGGAAGATTTCTTTCTCTTATATTCTATAAGACAACTTTTCTTTTTTCAAGCCATTCATGAAGAAGTCAGCATGAAAAATAATAATTTAGGAAGTTGGCTTCTGATCAGCTACTTCACTGAATTAAAGTACCATCAGGTTCATAACTTCTAAGTGAGAATATTAAAAACATGGATGAAATCCTTCTGCATAAGGTCCTGTGCAAACACACGGGGAGGATGTGAAGCAGTTGGTGACAGTGGATTCACATGACACCACATATCCTCTGGTGGAGTTCACCATCTAGTTAGGGCAGGAAGAGATAAATGTGACAAGTTAAATGAAATGTTTCAATAACAGTTCTAGACAATGGAAGAAATGTCATAACAATAGTGTATGATTCTTTGCCAATAAGATTGTTGTTGATAATAATAGCTGCAGAATTTCAAAGAAGAAAGTTACTTTAAGCCAGGAATGTCCAGGGAGGCTATACAGAGAAAGCAAGATTCCAGTTAGGTCTTGAAAGGTGCATAGAAACCTGTGGGTGGTCACAGGAAGCACATTAATAGCCTCTTAGTAATGCTGGTTTAGAGCTGGGGATGTAGCTCAGTGGTAGAGCACTTGCCTAGCATGTGGGAATCCCTGGGTTCAACCCCCAGCACTACAAAAAAGAAATTCTCTTAAAAAAAAAAAAAGAAAAGAAAAGAAAAGAAAGAGAAATCCTTTAGGATGGATGACTGGTGGAGGGAAAGAGGCAGGTGATCAGGGGCTAAGGGAGATGATGCCAGGTTAAAAAGGAATACTGGACATTCAAAAGAGAATGGCAGCCAAATTGTGGCAACAACCCAAGTGTCAACTAATGAATGAATGTTAAACAAAATGTGTTCTGTACACACCCAGGATATATTCTTCAGAAAATTCTGACATAGGCTACTTACTACAAGGGTAATGCTTGACAACATCATGCTCGGTAAAATGTCATCACACAGAAAATTCTGAGCGATTTCATTGATATGGAGCAGCTAGAGTAATCAAAATCATCCGGAAAGTAGAGCGCTGGCTGCCAGGGTCTGGGGAGCGAGGAGAGGGGGTTGGCATTTAATGGGTATGGTGAAAAGAGTTCTAGAGACAGATTGTCACGATGGCTGTACTACAGGAACACAGCTAACACCACTTAACTTATGATGACAAGTTTTATGTTGTAGACATATATTTTGCAATTTTTAAACATTTTAAGAGAGGAAGGATGGCAGCAAGAATGGCAGAAAGCAAGTGAAAAGCGTGGACTAGACTCAAGAGGGGTTACCGAGGTTTGGCAGTTGGCTCTGCCAAATATGGAAGTGTCTCTGTTCAAGGTTCCAGGACTGCCCGCCTTGAGCTCCACCAAGTCCATCTGCTCTGGAGTGGTGAGCAAATATTCCTTTTCTTACATTGACATAGAACCTCTTCCCTAAATTTGTTTAGGAATATTTAACTCCTTTTAATTTCATGAAGGACCTTTACAATCTCTTAAAGCCTTTGGCCTCAGTAAGAACCAGGCTCCTGCAGTCCCTCACTCCAGCCCTTACCTTTCCCCACTGGCCTTGATCCACTGTACACTGATACAAAATGTAGACAAAGTGCAGGTCACATCTGCATGGCTCAGGCACCCAGAGAGCATTGGTTAGTTTAATAAAGAGGTTGGCAAAGTTGGGCTTCATCTAACTAACATTTCTAGTATCTAGCTATCTGTCTATTCTAATCTAAAAGTGGGAACCATCAGAGAACCCAATGCATGGTAGGCTAAAATAACTATTTGGAGATTCATATATTCTCATCATGAAATGGCTTTAGAGTCCTCCAACAACTCTGCAAGAAAGAGATAGCTAGAGCTAGATCTCTTTCTAGAATTCTGGGGCAGTTCTCACCTACGCTAAAGGTGGATGCCTTCCCTCTGAATGTGAGCCTACCCCTAGAGTCCTGGACACAGGGAAATCTTGCCTGCACCTCTGCAGCTGGTAACCTAGAGCTCTTCTCATCATGGGTCCCAGATGAGATGAGTTTGCAAAGCACTGCCACTTGAATTCTGGTCCTGCCACTAGGCTGTAGGTGGACAAGGAAACAATCATTTTTAGAGTGGCCTTACTTTAAAAAGTGAACTAGAAACATGAAAACATTTTATCAGTGTCACCAATAATAAAATTGCCTCCTTGGGGCTGGAGATGTGGTTCAGTAGTAGAGTGCTTACCTAGCACATGTGAGGCACTGGGTTCAATCCTCAGCACCACATAAAAATAAATAAATAAAATAAAGGTATTGTGTGTATTCACAACTAAAAAAAAAAAACTGCCTCCTTGTATTCCTTCTGCAACAAGCTCTTCTTCATCCTATTTTTAATCATCAGCTACATTGATGACCAAAAATTATCCACAGCCCACAGGAACTCCAGAACACCAGGCATGTGAGCCTAAACTTTTATTCACGAGATTTTTCTCAGTTTTTAATGCTTCTTTTGTTTTGAATTACGAAAAGATGGTGAATACATTAGATCACTTTTATTACTGGGTCTTGTTGGGCTTCAGAAGTCTTTAAGGACAGGTTCAATTCTTTTTTTTTAAAAAAAAGGAAGAGATGCTTAAAATGTCAGGAAAATGGAGTTCCTATCATTTCACTCTCAAATTTCGCTTTTTAAATGTGGTTCTGCCAAGGGTTCAGTGAAAGATGGCTTCCTTATTGTCACTGATTAGCCATGACAGGCAGCAACACGACTCTCAGATACAGTCTCCCTTCGCCACAATTATCTAGTAATGCCTGCAAGGCGAAAGGCTGCTCAAAACCTCTTCCTTCTGGAATGCTTTTCCCAAAGGCAACAATTCAAAGCAAACCTCTATTAACGGGAACACTGACATCTGCAGAATTCTCTGGACAGGACAATTCCGCTACTCCCGGAGTGACAGCAGAAACTAAGACGTAATTACCTCTAGTCCAGTCACCAGGAAATCAGGCTCAACAACAGTTCAGAGGTGGAGGTCTTATATACCCACTGACAGCACCCCAACCCCATGAGCAACCCAACCAGACTGTCATTGTCACCGCATGTACATCCCTCTTAGGGAGCAAAAACCTTTTTTTCACTAAAATTCAATGCAACCAACACCAAATATAAGAGAGTATCAAAGTTAAATAAACGTAACACTTCTTATTAGCCCCCAGATATATGTGCAAATGTGACATAAAAATTACACGCTCCTTGCTAACATGGGTCATAACTTACAACAATATAAAAATACAATGTGTTCTTATCTTTAACTCTCTTTCTTCTACTTTCCTTTTGTTTATTTTGGAGCAAACAGACATCAAGGGGTTTGAAGGAGAAAAGAGAAATAGAGGAGGAAAAAAAAACAGAATTAGGTGAGAGGGCAGCAGAGGATGGGATAGGGGACTTCAGCATTAGAGGAGGGAGTAGCTGGGGACCTATCAGATGTCTGCACCTGAGACAGGGAGCAGGGAACCCAGAAAAGAGTCATAGGCAGCCCCTCCCAACACCCAAAATCTGGTCACAAGGAAGCATCACCCATCGACCCTGGGCAAGTACACAGCATGTAAGTACCTCAGATTGTTCTCTGAGCATAAATCTATGTAATGTGTTTCATGACAATACAGAAATGGCAGAAATAGAGAGCTAAGCATATAATTATGATAATATAAAAATGAACATACTCTGCTGTGGTAGATTTTAATAAGATTTTAATAATATTGGTAAGGAGCCAAATTACAAAATGCCCTAGAACACAGGAGTACAAAACCTCAGAGACAAAATAAAAACTCATGAAAACATAAGAGCACTCTAAAAAAGGTAATAATCTTTAAGATAAAGAAACCATTTTCTCAACAAAGGTACTGAGCATGTTTAATAAAAATTAAATGAGATTAAAGACAAGGTACACAGCCACACATTCCCAACCCGCAGCGATGGGGAGGGTGATATCTGTGTAGGTGAAGGCATGGCGCCAGGAGCTCAAATGAGCTCCAGTTGCCAATAGATCTGGAATAAACGGCCTCCAGGTGGGTGAAATTTCTCACAATTCACTTTCAGGACAGGAATTAATTTGCTCGGAAATGAACCATGTTGGCGTGTGCAGGAGAGGCAACCCGTTTCCACACAGCAGAAGCAGCAGCGTAGGGGAGATAACCTGACACCCCCTCCCCACCAGCCCCGTTGCCACCACAGCAGGGTATGGTCTCGAGGAGGTGACAAGGGGAGACGGGCTGTGTCCTTTGAGAACAATTCATTATTCGGATAAACTAAATGTAACAGCTCTCCATGACCAACAAACCAAAAATAAGAAGCCAAAACAACAGGGGTCCCCACCCCCAGAGGGATAATGTGCCACTAGCATGTGTGTGGCAGAATAACAGGAACAGAGAAAATATTCCTGGTTCAGTGGCACTGATCATCTGTCAGGACAGATGTGCCACCCTATCTGGGTTTTCTGGGTGGATGAGTGGGGGTTTCCCTCAACTCCTGCAGCAGAGACTTTAATGCTACTGTCACTTGGGTCCCATTTTTTTTTTTTCCAAGGGCACTACATGTTATGCTTCATTTGGGCCAGATGTTCACATCAGTGTGTCTGCTCATCCCCACTAAGAGCACAACAATTATTTATTTGTCATTCCAGCACATGCAGCAGCGAGGAGTGGCTGTTGAAATGCAGTGGGAAACAGAGAGCAGAGGCTCTTCTGCAGAGCCCCCAGCATCCCAGCAAGCCGGGCCACAGGGAGGAGACACCCTCACGCCAGCCATCTGCGGGATTCCTTATTTTCAGCCTTAAATCAATAGTTTAAACTGATGCAGATTCCATGTGACAGGAGGGACAGTAAGGGAGATTTGAGACTTTATATTCTTTAGATGTCTACTGGCACTGTGCTGGCCATTAAAAAGTTATGTGCAACTTCAAGATGAAAGACATTAGCAGCTTCTAAGAAGAGGACAGTCCCAATCTTCTGGAGATTTAATGAGATGGAACTCACTGAAGCTTCTGACTCGGTCGGCTGTTAATTGAATCAAAGTCAATGACAATCTTGCTGCACTTGGGTGTAAATTTCCTAAACACGAAAAACAAAACATAAAGATATAATCCAAATGAGTAGTTAAAGCAATTTATTTACTTTGGCTTAAACTATATTTTCTGTGCAGAGGAAAAAAAAATGCTGTGGGATTTGTTTGATAGTTTATCTCTATAGGAGCCAATTATGGTGCACCATACCGAGAGAAACATGGACCAGAAAAGATGAAGACCGAAAAAAAAAAAAAAAAAGATGCATGGGGTGGCCTGGTTTGTATGTTCTTCAGCTACCTGAGTTCATGAATTACCCGGGAGTCAGGGATTTCTAACAAGTTAGCTGCACAACATGATATCCGATTACTCGTTTTCCTACCAGATTTATCTTATTTTCTAGGAAATTTCTGCAGCCAACTTGGAGTTGCTCTGAAGCGAATGATAGTAAATTTTCTTCTGCCTCTTATACACAGCAAAATACAACTAGTTTTAGTGAGGAGCAATTTTTTAAAATCATGTTCTGAAAAGGCAAAGGTAAAATAAACCCACTATATTTTTGTACTCATTAGCTTCTTATTCATTACTCATTACTTCTCCAACAACTAAAAAGAAAATTATTGGGGAGCTATACATATTCTTTTTAAAATCAGTCAATAAGAGAATATCCAAATAATTGGATTTAAAGTCTCATAAGACACAATAATTTAGTTCTAGATTCATCACGTAAAACCCAAATCCCCAACAGTGAGCATAGGGGGCTGGGCATGTGACTTAACATGACGGTCCTACCACTGCTGACCAAAACTACCATCAAGCTTTGTAAAAGCTTTTCAGTATCAAATAAATTTTCTGCCATTAATCAAAGGTGACTGAATTTAATTGCAAGTAAAACATGCTACATAATCTTTGCTCAGTAAAGATGATCATAAAAATCTAAAAGACTTCTAATCTCAATTAAAATTTGCTCTAAAAAGAGCTCCTAGTGTTTTGACCTGGCAGGTTACTTTCATCCTAACTTGTCTATGCCAGAGTTGGTACATCTACAAAATTTACAAAGGTTTGGCATTACTATACAAAACTTGTAAATTTTTAAATTTCTCGCTCTTTGAATAATTAGCCTAAGCCCTGGGAAGTTACAAATATTAAAAGATAATCATTAAACAGATTGTCTTCAGATACTTCTGTCACTACTCTTAAAAATCTACCCCTAAAATAAGCTTTAGATTCTTATGCCATCACATTTCTGAACACGCTTCCAAGTGTGGAATTCAGGCATCACAAGGAGAAACTGAACATCAGACAAGGTCAAATGTATTTCTACATCAGCCCTTCACACCACCTTTCTCCCAAATTCTCCTGACTTACCTGAACGTAACCCCAGCCATTTCAAACATGAGCCTCGCCGCTGTTGTCTCATCACTGTCATGGTATTTATCAGACATAAAAATAACTTCTTTTATACCTTAAAAGGGAACAGTGGGAGCCCCATTAGTATATGTATATATAGATCCTGCAAAAGACAGGCAGAGGCAGATGGAGTTCTTGTAACATCTATGATTAATTACCTTTTTTAACTGCTTTCAGACAATGTCCAGTTACTAAAAAATATATCTGCTGCTTTCTAATATAGCAGAGGGTAGATTATATTTAATCTGCCCTCCAGTCTTCATGGATTTTTTTTTAACAAATGCAAAATGCAAACATGTTAAATAGTCAAACCTTAATCCAATTAACAAATTTTCTTTACTGCAGGTAAGCAAATATTTATTCACAAGGCAAATACTCTGAACTTAATAGGGATACAGGAGGAGTGGCAGGTCCTGGCCAATTGAGAGATTGGTACCGCTGGGCTTCCAAGAACAGCTCAGCAGAACAATTCAACCCAGCTCCATGGAGGGCAGCTCTGCTTCCTTTTCCTGCTCTCACCAGGCAGTACAAACCTGAGAGTCAGGAATCCCAGGGGCTCTGTACTCCACCAGCTCTGGGAGGAACAAGGGAGCCAACCACAGAGACCATAGCTGCTCAGCGTATGCACCTGCTGCCACCTCTGCAGCCTGCAGACGGCTGAGGAAACATCCCAGAAGATCGAATAGCAGCAACAGCATGGGAGCTCGCGCTGTTCCTTAAGGGCGGCTTCTGATTCAATCAGACCTCTTCTGCTCTTAGATCCACGGGACTGATGATAAACAGCCCCTTTAAACCACACATCTGGCTAAACATGCTAAGTCTTTAAATCTCAAGCTGAGAGCTTTATGGAGATAAAGTGTAGATGAATCTTAGATGTGACAGTTTGAAAAAGGTGAAATATTCAGAATACAACCATGGAGATTTATGGTAACTGTAATATAAGAAAAACTTAAAGTAGTACCATTTGAGTCTTACAGCATTTATATGCAAAGATATGCTTAGATCCTCAAATATCTACCATGTATTAGCTACAAATTAAAATTTGATATACAGACTCCCAGCTGACCTTGTTTCTGACAGAAGTTCATTTCCCTCCCTCCCCCCTAATCTATGCACAATATGTCAGAGAATGGTAAATTGACAGTAATTATATGCAATGCCTGTGTTGTTTTTTGGCAGCTTGCAGTTTAAGAAGTTGCAAACTAAATTAAAAACATGCTAAGAATCACAGAGGATGCAATTAGTCTTAGACTACCTGGCACCATTCAAAAACAAAACACGGGAAATATCTTGCAAAGTTGATAGTGCAATTAATTTAGATCTAAACAATAGCAATTTAAGATCAAATGCATCTGCAATGAGCTACTGATGAGCAGGCAGCAATGCAAATGTGACAAATGGAAAGGCCGGGTTCCTACCTGCCTGGATGATGAGCTTAGCACATTCATTACATGGGAACAAGGCGACATACATGCTACAGCCCTTCACATCAGCCGAATTCTTGTTCATGATGGCATTTAGCTCAGCATGGCATACTGTGAGTTTGAAAAAGAAAGAAAAACTTTGATTGCAGTTCATGAAGAATTTACCAAGTGTTAGGCATTCCATTCCCCCCTCTGAAATAGACTTGATAAAAATAAATTGATTAGAAACAGCACATACTGAGAACACCAAATGAGGGCCACATGGTCTAAAAAACTGTCACTGCGGCAGCCCTCAGTCCATGAGCACTAGAGCAGCCAGGGGGGCTGAGGTCAAGTACCTTCACCCACCTTAGGCCAAGCAATAGCTCATCGCTCCACAAGATCCTGGGGTACTGAATTGCCCACATAAAATGGCTCATTTATGTGTTGATATGCACACACAGGGGTACTCTGTGTGGCCATTAAGAGGGCAGGGAGCAGTAAGAGCAAGAGAATCAAGAAGCAAAGCTGAGCATTTCTACCCTGAGGGATCTGCTTCACCTCATCATTCTCAGTCCAAGACACACAGGAAAAACACTAGTAGATAACCAGCAGTTTATCTTTTATAAGAAAAACATTCATCCACTTAACAGCAATGAAGAATCAAGCTCTTGATGCTGTCCCATTCCACCAATGATCCCAAAACGAGGGTCGAGGGCTATCCCCTGGCTTGCCTGAGTTAAGGTCAAAGGGAGCCCCATCCCTTCTTCCTTCCCCATACCTGTCAAAGCTTGCTGGTTTCTGAGGTCCAGTTTGGCTAGGTGTTCTACCACCTGCCAGCAAGGGTGTTCCTCCTCTGGAAGGAGTGAGAAGGACTCCAGCACAGGCTGGTTTTGAATCCCTCGGCCTGCCCATGGTTTCTGTATGGCCATCTTGTATCATTATTAAGTTTCTGTGTTATTGAAGACTATACTACACACTACTTACGGCAGTAACGGGCAAACTTGTCCCTGGAGGAGCTTCCAAAACATTCATATCTGTGTGTTCCATACCCAGAGAGTGTGATAGTCTGGGGTGTGGCCTGGACTTGGGAACTGCAACTACCCATGGGCGCCTTGTGTTCTGTAGCACCTCCGAGATGCTGCAGGCAAAAAGCTGACCAAGAGCTCTCTCGGGAAATATTAGTAGATACTCACATTTAGACGAGGAATGCCATTTTTGAGGGGGTCTCAGCCATGTGTGAAAATAAACAGTCTCTGGCATTACAGGGAAATCTAAAGAAATAAGCTGCGCTTAATCAGATCCCATCCCATCAGAGGATAATCCTGGCTGGTCACAAGGGGATCTGAGCCACACCTCCCAAGACTCCCTGGCTTACCAAACCCCAAGGGCATGGCAGGATAAGAAGAATGAAACTCAAGAAGGAGCAGCATGGCCAAGTGGGCACTGGCCTTGGACAGGCTCCCCTGGCCCCTTCTCCCCGGGTGACCAAGACACTGGGAAGCTGGCATTAACATTGCTCAGTGTTAAAACCAATTAGATGTAATTGTTTCTTTTATTTCCCCCTTGAGGGCAGAGCCCAGCCTTCTAGGTTCTTTGTAACTTCCCCAGAGTCTAATGTGATGCCATGAACATAATGGGTGTTAAATATTTATTGAATGAATAAAGAAGGAAATGCAGATTCCAATTATTGATGGTGACATTGGGAAATACTAAAAGTCCTCCTAAATTCAAATATCAAAAATAGGTTTTCCCATTTAATAAATATTTTTGATGGTGTTGGTATTAATATTCAGAACTTCAGAACTAGAGTCTTTGAAACTGTTACGAAACACTATTATGATGTCCGTTTTTCAATTTCTTAAGAATTATCACACTGACGGCAACGATCTTTCTCCAATTCATCCGAGGCAGTTTGGGGCAAAACTTAACACTATAGGTCTGGATTCATTAGTGAAAATTACCATATGAAACAGATTCTCTAGGGAAGTATCTGATGTCCCTGTGTATCAAGGGTGGTTTATAGAAATAACATACAGACTTCTTTTCTCTTAAAAAAAAAAAAAATCAAAAGATGAAAAATACAGAACGTCTTGTTAATAACACATGAGGTCTCTGGACAACATGAGTGCCAGAGTGGCAGGTACATGGGAAACTCTCACAAGGAGTAGTTCATAACCCACAATCCCACATATTCAAAACGAGACAATGACAAAAACCAAACCCAAGCATTCAGTCAAGAGCACAGGATGATGAGCTTAGCACATTCATTACATGAATGTATGGAATACATTCTCCTGCTCAGTCCTACACCCCTTCAACTTCAGACACAGCCAGCACCTGCCTCTTTCCCCAGAGTCCTCAGCCCACCAAGGCCTGTCTGATTAACACCTGCTTTCCAGACTCACTTGAGGGGCCGAGGGAGGGAGAGAAGCCCCAGCTTAGGGGAGCACTGGCCCCTGTCTACCTGTTCCCCACCCTATTATTCCCCATGAGCTGTTGAGCTGTTATTCAGGTCCTGATATCTGGCCTCGCCCTTCTGGCTTAATACCTGCCTCTCTGGTCCAGGGTCTCCACTGCCCCTGTAGTTCTAACTACAGGTTCCCTCCAAAACCTCCTCGCAGGTCCCTTCAGGTTCATTCCACATGAGGAGACATTACTCCATGGGGCCTCAGGCCCAGGAGCCCATATCCTCAGAGAAGATACGGGGCAGACCAATTTGATGGCAGTCCATTCAATTTGCTTAATATAGGTTAGTCTGAGTGAAGTGCTGGGGACTCATTTACTCAGTCTAGTCATCTATATTAGTCACAAGTCTGCTTCCACACAAAGAGCACTCAGAACCAATGCGTCTGGCCTGTGCCTCGCTTGCTCCGGAGCCCAGGCTAGTCAGACACAGAGCCAACCCCTTCCCCCTTTGCACTCTGCACCTTGGCAGGCAGGCATGGAGCAAGAACTTTTGCAACAGCAGGACACCGGGCTCAAGGCCCAATTTGCCACTTAGAAGCTGGATGACCTTTGGGCTGGAAATGTAGCTTAATGCAGAGCACTTGCCTATCATGCACCAGGCCATGGGTTCAATCCCTAGTGGGGGCTGGAGGCAGGAGAATAAAGGATGACTTTTGACAAGGTGAACAAGTGCCCTTTTGGTTTACAAGAGTAACATTGGCTCTAAGAAAGTACATTCCCAACTAAATAAAAACAATTTTTAAAACACCAAATACGTTGATTTTTTTTTTTTTTTTTTTTACTTCTTCCTAATATTCTCAGTTTCATTCAGTCCTCCAGAACATCTGATCATCTCTAAAACTCTTCACTAAGAAAACATGGATCTCCTCTCCTGGTGCCAACCCTGAGGCCCCTGCTTGCCTCTGCTTGGTTTTCTTTACCTTTAAACATAGACACTTACTCCTCATTCTGAAGAGGTCATCTCCTAGCATCTCTCCTTCTTCCTTTCCAGGAGAATCAGTATTTCAACAACAGCTTCCTCAATTTTTTAAATAATCATCTCTTGACTTTGTACTGCAAATATAACCTCTAGTTTTCTTTGAAATGATGTTTTCAAACTACAAGTCATAAAACCAGTTTAATGAATTATAATCAGTTTGTTTGTTTTAATGAAACTGACAGGGTAAAGGCAGAAACTGGAATGTATCCCAAATGCAGGGTTACGTATTTCTCCTAAAACCTATGTTTACTATGTTTCAGGTATACATTTGCTGGGTGGCCAAGTAATAAATGTGAGATTCACTACTCTATGGCAACTGAAGGCTCTGTCATTTTCTGATTAATGTTCACAAGCAATTACTGAAAAAGAAGGATGACGCAGAAAGAAAAGAAAAAGGCCTGATTTGCAGCATCCACCAATTTTTGTGAATACCTCCCAATGTGACGGAGCTGGGAGAAGTGCAGAACTGGCTGTGAAAGCTGATTGACCCAGCTCCTCCGCACCACTGCATGATCCTATCATTACCAAAACCCACAGCCTCTTTTTGGCTGTAATCTTTGAATTCACTGTTCTCTTGGCCCTGGAATAGTGGACTACTATTTACCCTAAAACCTTCAAGACCACGATACCCTGTCTTTTTCCTACCTTTCTGTGGATCCTTTTCTTTCTTCTGCCTTTCTGGGCCCTTCCCAAGGTTCCATCCTAATTTTCCACGTCTTTCCTACAGTCACTGATTTAAAGATTCATCTATTCTAGATTCTCAGATAACACATCTATTGTAAAACCCTGGATTCCACATTCATAACCCTAATTTCCCACCTTCTTCCCAAGCCTTCTTTGGAGTTGGGGGGTTCTCTGTACCTTTTCCCACTAGAATGAACATTTACAGATATCTCACAGCTATAAACTAAAGAATAAATTTCTCTAGTGCTAATATGCCTAAAAAGAACTGCAGCAAGAGCCAAAATATACCTGGGTGCAATCACCAACCAAAGACTAGTTCTGTTAGTTTTAAACATAGTTTTTGTATTCAGAGTAGGAATAAGGACAAAGTATTTAAAAGACACAGTATCTAAGGACTACTGATTGTTAAAATTGTCCAAAAACAGATGAATTTTCCAACTACCTAGAGTGACATACTGACAGCTAAGCAATAAGCAAAAGAAATCTTCAAATAATTCATATATATTTGATAAGCACAAAGAGTGACACAAAACCCTTCAATTACTCCCAACATTGTTTAAAAGGAAGAGAATCAAATGCTAAAAATACCAGATTAGTGCTTATAAAGTTCTTGATTGCCAAAGGAGAACCTCTGTTTCAGGTAATTATAAGACAATTCATGTGCTTTGGTCTTGTCTTGTCTTTTCTATTACTAACTGTCAGAATTCAGAACTACATTAACCTTGGACCACTAGGAAGAGATTGTATAATTAGAAAACTGTATTTTTCAAATTCTCTCTTACTAGGGCTTGATTAATCCTCACTGTCTCATGTAGGCGGTTCTTTAGAAGTTTGACAAATTAACAGGATATACTCTATCCTTCGTTGAATTTAAGAGATTCAACGTTTTATAGATTTAACTTCCATCTTATTTGATATTAAAGCTAATACAATATCTATTTTTGACAGTAGTACTATTAAGGTTACTCAAAATAGTTAAAGAAAAAAAAAACTGCCCTGAATAATGCTCAACAAATTCTAACTGCTACACAAATACTTTAGCAGTCACAGTGTGATTCAGCCTCAACTGGGTTTCAACAGCTACTGAGACAGGACAGGAAATAACTGGGGCCTGACATGATGTGCACTATGGAAAACTAAGTTTATATTCCAGTTAAAGAAACTCCAGATTGTTTAAAATGCCTCATTTTTAGAGATACAGGATTTTACTTGAAGAAAGTGACTTCCTCGGCCTGAGGAGGACTCTCCCAGGGCTGACCTGAAAAGGCTGGGCAGGCTGGGGGTGGCACTTACTAGAATTCGAGCTAAGGAGACTCGGAGCAGCCCCACTGTACTCCTGCCACCATACCAGGTTGAACCACTCCACACCTGGACGGCTGGGTTCACTGACAACACAAGGCTCAGAGCCAGGAATGAAAAGGTAGGGTGTGTCACTCTATTCTTTCAATTGGGTTCTCACCCTGCAACCAACAGTCATGAAATAGGTAACTGCTTAAGAATGAACTGTGAGTTTTTTTCTTTAATGACTCAAGTGTTAGTTTACAAGATATCCCACCTCTTTTCGGATGACAAAGCTTTCCCATCATTAATCCTCCAAAAAAGAATCTACATGTTTTTGTTTCTGGGGTCCTAAAGTTGACAGAGTTACTATATCTGGGCATATATCTAGGAGCATGGGCCTACACCCCTGCCCTCGTGGCTGGACAGGTGCCTGATGGAGACTTCCATCAAGGGGTGGGACATGCACCTGCTCCTCTATCAGGACCATTTAAAAGTTTGGGAACTAAAATGGAATTTCAATGACTTATTTCTTAATTATTGAAAGATATCCTGACAGGGCCTCATATGTCACTGCCAGCCTCCCAGGTACCTATCCTTCAAGTTAATAATTTAAAGTAGAATAGCCTCTAAATTTAAGCCCCAAACCTACCAACACCCCAAGTACCCCAGAAGGGGCCACAGGAAAGATGGACCCTTCCAGAGCATGCCCCCAGTGACCCACCTGCTTACAGTTACCACCCACCCAGCCCAAAGTAGGATGGAGTGATTAGGTTACAGCTCTCACAATCCAATCATTTCACCTCAGGACATTCCTGCGTTAACAGGAGCTTTTGTGGGGACACTCATATCCAGACCACAACA